CTACCTCTCTGGCTCTCTATCTCTGAGTGGGTCTCTCTTGGGACTCGGGATCTCTATCTCTCTGGATCTATCTCTGGGTTTCTGTCTCTATCTATCTCTCTACATCTCTGTCTCTACCTCTCTGGCTATCTCTGAGTGGGTCTCTCGATCTCTATCTCTCTGAATCTTTCTATCTCTGGCAGTCTATTGCTACCAGAGATAGACACAGAGACCCATCTCTCTGGGTCTCTGTCTCTCTCTGCATCTCTCTGTCTCTACCTCTCTGGCTCTCTATCTCTGAGTGGGTCTCTCTTGGGACTTGGGATCTCTCTCTCTGGATCTTTCTATCTCTGGTGGTTTATCGCCACCAGAGATAGACCCAGAGACCATCTCTCTGGGTCTTTCTCTGGGTCTCTGTTTCTTTATCTGTCTCTAAGTCTCTCTACCTCTCTGGCTCTCTATCTCTGAGTGGGTCTCTCTTGGGACTCGGGATCTCTCTCTCTGGCTCTATCTCTGGTGGTCTATCTCTACCAGAGATAGACCCACCTCTGGGTCTATCTCTGGGTCTCTGTCTCTCTCTACGTCTCTACCTCTTTGGCTATCTGAGTGGGTTTCTGGGTCTCTCTTGGGTCTCGGATCTCTATCTCTCTTCTATCTTTGGTGGTCTATCGCTACCAGAGATAGACCCAGAGACCCATCTCTCTGGGTCTATCTCTGGATCTCTGTCTCTTTGTCTCTCTATGTCTGTCTCTACCTCTGAGTATCTCTGAGTGGGTCTCAGGATCTCTATCTCTCTCTATGTCTCTCTGTCTCTACCTCTCTGGCTATCTGTGAGTGGGTCTCTGGGTCTCGGGATCTCTATCTCTCTGGATCTTTCTATCTCTGGGTCTATGTCTGGTTCTCTGTCTCTTTATCTGTCTCTTTATGTCTCTGTGTCTCTACCTCTCTGGCTCTATCTCAGTGGGTTTCTGGGTCTCTCTTGGGTCTCAGATGTCTATCTCTCTGGATCTTTCTATCTCTGGTGGTCTATCGCTACCAGAGATAGACCCAGAGACCCATCTCAGATAGTCAGAGAGGTAGAGACAGAGATCCAGAGATAGACCCAGAGAGATGGGTCTCTGGGTCTATCTCTGGATCTCTGTCTCTACCTCTCTAGCTATCTGTGAGTGGGTCTCGGGATCTCTATCTCTCTGGATCTTTCTATCTCTGGCGGTCTATCTCTACCAGAGATACACCCAGAGACCCGTCTCTCTGGGTCTCTCTATCTGTCTTTCTCTACGTCTCTTTGTCTGCGCTCTATCTCTATCAGAGATAGACCCAGAGACCCATCTCTCTGTCTCTTTATCTGTCTCTAAGTCTCTCTGTCTCTAGCTCTCTGGCTCTCTATCTCTGAGTGGGTCTCTATCTCTGAGTGGGTCTCTCTTGGGTGGGTCTCTCTTGGTCTCGGGATCTTTCTATCTCTGGCGGTCTATCTCTGGGTCTCTGTCTCTGTCTCTCTCTAAGTCTCTGTGGCACTCTATCTCTGAGTGGGTCTCTCTTGGGTCTCGGGATCTCTGTCTCTCTAGATCTTTCTATCTCTGGCGGTCTATCGCTACCAGAGATAGATCCAGAGACCCACTTCTCTGGGTCTATCTCCGGTCTCTGTCTCTATATCTGTCTCTCTCTACCTCTCTGGCTATCTCTGAGGGGGTTTCTGGTTCTCTCTTGGGTCTCGGGATCTCTATCTCTCTGGATCTTTCTATCTCTGGCGGTCTATCGCTACCAGAGATAGACCCAGAGACCCATCTCTCTGGGTCTATCTCTGGTTCTCTGTCTCTTTGTCTCTCTACATCTCTCAGTCTCTACCGCTCTGGCTCTATCTGTAAGTGGGTCTCTCGATCTCTATCTCTCTGGCTCTTTCTATCTCTGGCTCTCTATCTCTACCAGAGAGACCCAGAGACCCATCTCTCTGGGTCTCTATCTCTAGGTCTTTCTGGGTCTCTGAATCTCTTGGTGTCTCTCTGGGTCTCCTGCTCTATATCTCTGTCTGTCTCTGTGGGTGGGTCTCCCTCTCTGGGTCGTTATCTGGGTCTCGAGGTCTCAGTCTCTCCTCTCTAGGTCTCAGAGTGAGAGGTAGAGAGACACAGAGACCCATCTCTCTGGGTGTATCTCTGGGTCTCACTCTATCTGGGTCTCTGTCTCTCTCTCTGTGTCTGTGGATTGATCAAGTGATCTACCAAAAAAAGGATAATTCTTAGGATGACAAGGTCTGCTCAACATTGAAAGCCAATCAATATATTAATTTCTCTCCATAAAATACCATGTAAGCAAGTTCATTATGGTTAATACTTAAGCAAACTAAGGTAAGAACCTCCTTTAATGAGTAAACACTTCAAAAACCAATTGCTAGCATTGAAGTTGGTGTTTAAAAGAGGAATATTTTTCTAACATCAGGAATAAGGCAAGAATTTAAGTTCTTAACACTTTACTTACTGTACTGGATACC